TCAATCTAGTTACATCGCCCGACCATGTCTTGATTTTTATGTTCTACAGCAGAACGTAAACAGTCTCTAATATATATACTAAAAATAATGCATAAACGCCCGTGAAGGACAAGCTTGACAATGACATCGGATGACTAGTTCTCCAACGCAATTGCTTATAAAAAGGCAGATACTGCCTAAAAAAAATTGTTACTGCCTTTGAGACTTTCGTTCAGCAGTAAAACTTCTTGTCAAAGCCCCCAAACCCAAACTAAACTCTACACAACCACACTTAAACTTTAAGTAGTTCTCAAACAGGCAACACCCCTTTCCCGACAAACAAAACCCTACCTTCCTAACCTCTAATTATGTACCCCTTGTCGCGGTTTTAAAGGGGGCGTCGCTCCGAGGCCACAATACGTACGGACCGGTTTTTCCTTGTACTATGGCAAGGTTTGGCCGCGCAAAAACAACAAATGTCCCCGCAAATACGAAATAAAATCGTCAGACCATCAGCCGAGTCCTTCGGTGGGCGGGGAAAAAAAGGTGTTCGTCAGAATCGTCACTTCCTGTACTGACAGTGGAGGTGTCCTGAGAGTGGAGGTCTGCACCGGAACTGTCCTGAGAGTGGAGGTCTGCATATTTGTGAAGGAGCTCCTATATGGCATTACCCCGCTGAAGCTCACCAAAGTTTAATATATTTCATAGTTTATTGGTCAAATAATGGTTTCTAATGGTTTCTGAGGAGTTTTACTGGAATGAAAGAGCACAGTCTACAGAAGCAACAAAGCAGCATACTGCATTAAACGTGACCTTCACAGAGAGGTTGAAGTTCATGTGGAAAGGAGGCTTCAGTAGTCTGTCTGCACTCTGTTTAGTTGTGCTATCTTACAATCAATATAGTAAATGTGAAGTAAAGTGTGTCGCCAATGTAACCGGTTAGAACTCGAAGTTGCGATGAGGTCTTAAAATGTATGGAAAGGGTCTTAAAAAAGGTATTCAATTTGACTTCAGGATTCCTGCATATACCCTGTTAATGTCTTTCATTTTTGTAAAGCACTTTGAATTGCCTTGTGTTGAAAGGTGCTATTTAAATAAACTTGCCTTGCCTTGGCAGGCTCCTACATTTACAGAAAGTGCAGTGGTAGAATATGTGATCCTTTTTTAAAAAAAAAAAAAAGTGTACATGAATACACTGTCTTGTTTTTCTAGCTCTGTTCTTCAATTTTTGTTATTAGGATTGCAGACGCAGACCCGAGAGCAGCCAGCCTCTAAAGCCATTGTTGTCCGTTTGCCCCGATGATTAATCCTAGATACCCTCTGTAAGAAGCGTTCTGAGGAAAAACAGGAGCTCAGTCATAGTGCCGCAAAAGAAAAAAATAAAGCCTCACTACATCAACAGATTGACTTTGACAGAAAGGGGTGTAGAGAGCAGCGACTGCAAGATCATCCTTTGTATATGATTTTCGATTTTAAATTGAAGAGAACAAGAATTCATTTTAACATGAATATTTCAATCAACATATAACATACGTTGTTTTTTTAACCTTAAATCTTGTTCCCACTAAACATTTATCAGGTTCAACTCCTATAGAAATACACCCAACCTGTATGTGGTTTTGTCTGACGAGCAATACCGTGTGTAAATGTGATGGACAGGACTCCTGGCTTCCTTTAAGTCAAGAGATTTTAAACCGCCGCACCTGTCACCAAACCTGTATGGTGTGCAGGAACTTTGTTGAGTTTGCTAGCCCACACCTTGTGCAACTTTTGAATTTGATTGTTATGTCCGAATTGTTTCTTCAGAAGTCAGAGCCAGAGAAGAACCAAAGCCGCTACAATCTGCGGCGCAGGAAGGTCGATGGAGATGGCAAAGCTGAGGCCAAAGCTGAGGCCAAAGCAGAGCAGCTGGAAGAAAGAGAGGCCAAGATGGCTGCAGCTGCTGCTCCCCCCTCCGTTTCCCTTGACTTTGGAGGGAAGCTAGGTAGTTATAGGATGTTAAGGAAACTACATCCAGTAGCCTGGAGGATGATCTTTAAAGCAAAGACTGCCAACCTTTTTTTAGAGGACAGTAGCATTGTTCTGCAGAGAATTCTACCAATCTGCTCACTCAGTATAATTTATACAAACCAACTAACTAAAAAAGTATGTGTGTGTATATAATACCTTGTCTGCTGGGAGCATACCTGTTTTCAGTGAACAGGCAGTAGCTTCATGTGTGTGTGTGTGTGTGTGTGTGTGTGTGTGTGTGTGTGTGTGTGTGTTTTTGTGTGTGCACATACCTGCCACACTTCTCACACTCCTCCACAAACATGTTTCCATGGAGCTCTGATAGCTTATCCCTGCCAGACAAAATCAAATCAAACACAAAACCAGAAAAATCACTTCAAAAAAGTTCAGACTATTTCAGAATTCCTCAGTTCCTTTCTGCTTTCAAATGTCTGCTTTACACACAGTGCCAACCAGTTTACTTTCCCAGTTTGTTTGCTGTCTCAATGATTTCCTCAGAGAAATAGCATTTCAATGCCTGGCCTCGTCTACCCTGACTGATAGAGTGAAGAGGAAGAAATGCAAGACTGTGAATGAGAGACAAGGCTGGGCTATGTGCTGAATGTGAAGATTGGATTCTTGGCCCTGGGTTAGTCCAAGTGTGTTTGGATGAACCTGAGTCAGATCAAAGAGTTTCTATTATACTGAGCATTATTAGTTATAGTCCCCTGAAAGGCACTATATACATTTAAGTTATTATTATTATTATTATTATTATTATTATTATTAAGCAGTGTTTAAAGATATGGCGCTGTTACAGCTGTTATCACAAAGCAACAGCTTCATATTTAAATAGAAAAGGAGTCGCACTCCAACATTTAACAAACCAGCATGAAACAATATGGTTAGCTCAAACTTACTCTAATGTGGCCAATTAACGTTGAGGAATTCACTGCATTTTCTGACACATTGCATTTCCTCTAAATAAGTATCTCACGTCCACTTGTTCATCCCCTCTCCACTCACTCTGCTGCAACTCCAAATCCTCCTGCACAGGGAGGTAATCTAACCGGATCCAACAAGTTACATGTATGAGCAAACGGAGGCCCTTTTTGGACATTTGCTGCAGGTATGCTGTAAACCAGAAGACCCCCTGACTCTGCAGTACGCTGCTCTTTAGTTACTTTGAGATAATTGTTTGGTTTTAACAATCTTTAATGTTTTCGCAGCTTAAGAGCCATATATTTCCTTCAGGAATGAATCAGGTGGACACAGACATGTACAGAAACAAAGTCATGCTAATGTTGCCCGGTGTCTGATGGGTGGCTATCTCAACGTATGTCATGTGTTGTGGCTGCAATGACTCAATCAACAGAAAATGTATCAAAAGCTATTTTGAAAATCGCATTAAAGTAACAAATTTGATGGTTCTAGCATCTCAGAATTGATTAATTATTTGTATTCACTTAACATAGTAAACTGGCTCACTATGGGTTTTTGACTATTGGTGAGACAAAAAATAAATAAATTAATGACACAAGCTTTTGTTCCAGTGAATAGAAAAGGGCAATTTCCAAGGTTATTCGGCTTCCAACATGAGGGGGATTTTTCATTCCCACTTTGAGTGCTACTAGACGCTTTGTGAATTATCTGTGAAATCACGCATTGCTAGCTTCTCAGTGTGTAAAATGCTTTATGTGTAACCATCATGCTGCAGAACAGAATTACCTCGGGAAGCCTGATCGAGCATGAAGTCCGTCTACATTCTGGCTGATGAGATACTTGAGGTAGCCGGCCCTCTGAAGCCCCAGCAGGGCCAGGTGAGTCAAGCTGGGCCGGGCCTCTTCGAAGGTGGTGTCAAAGTGAGGTGACTCACCGTTTTGCTCCAATGTCCACACCCCCCTTGGACCCCTGAAAGAGAAAATATGATTGAAGTAATGACTGGCAGGAGTTATAATCAGGAGTTGACAGGCGGTAATGCAGTGGGTGGACTGTAAGCATTTCATTTCCTAGCTGGTGTGTGGGTTTCTTTTCAACGCTGAAGTGAGTGTTAGGTGGAAATATTCTGCAAGTTTTGTCCACGAAACTGAGAAAGTGCTGCACGTCTGAGACCACTGGAAATATGACCCAAAAAAAAACTACGCATAAAGATGATCCTACAACAAATAACATAGATTATATGTAGAATAAATGACATTCTACAAAAACATCCTTATGAGCATTTTATAAAAATATCAACAGTCTAAATTGACGAGAATAATGTTACAAAAATACAAACACTGGCTGCTAGCTGGCTCGCTGTTTTTCCCACATGCCCCACCCCGGAACTTGCGGTCTTCAGACTCTGGCCCCGCGCACCAACCTGTGAATCTTCGGGGATAGAGCCTTCAGTATGGCAGCCCCCACTCTCTGGAGCGCTCTCCCTGCGGAGATCCACAACATCCCCACGCTTGACGTCTTCATAAGGGCCCTCAAGTCCCATCTGTCTGCCAAGGACTTTGGCCCCTAATCTATTTGTTGTTTTGTCTGACTAACTGTTCGTCTGACTGCCTTTTTGTTTTTGTTATGTTTGTTTATACTCCTGTTCTTCCTTGTAAAGCGACCTCGGGTCTCATGAAAGGCGCTATAAAAATCTAAGTTATTATTATTATTATTATTACTGACAGGTTTTCTAACTAAAATGTATAAAGTCTGTTGTCCGATTCCTGTTCCTTTAGCCCACCAATTAGCTAAGAGTGTCTGAATGATGAATAAACATGGCAGTACTGCTGCTGTGTAACACCCAAACAGTAGCCATGTTATTTCCATAGTTAGCTCATAAAAACACAGATGCACAACATCTTCATCTCTCAACACTACTGATTCTATGGCCCAATTCCAAATCACACCCTACCCACTCCGTGACGTAGTGAACTCCGCGGAGTGACACTCGCAGCTCAACGAGGCTCCCTCTGTCAGATGGAGGGAGTAAATACAGCGGCAAGCTTTGGAGCCAACTCCCCTCTCTCCGGCAAAAACAGGAAATGCCGTAACTGTACTGTATGTAACAACGGTTTCAAATCAGCATCTCTTGGACAAAAAATTAAATTAGTAACTCAAATAAAACTCCAAACATCTTTAATTGTGTTAATTTTAAAAAGCTCTTTTAGTTTTAAACCTGATGTTTATAAGCTTCTTAGTTTTTGCAACAGTCTGTAAATATACACAACTTTATAATAAAATGCACACATTTACCTAAACACAGGTATGATCCTAAGTTAACAAAATATGAGGTTATCATGAGGTTGTTAACATCGCAGTTTATCAGTGGATGTTGAATGAACAGCTTATTTCCTGACGGACACGCACAGCGTTGAGACCGGTCAGGTAGGGCAGCACGTGAAGTCAGCACCGATGCAGACTCGCTGTTTGAGGGCTTGATAACCCACTCCCCCTCCACACTCGTTGGTTTGGAACAGCACTTAATGTGGCGGACCCTCCGCACGAACGGAGGGGTAGTGTGTAGGGGGTGGATTGGAATTGGGCCTATGATTCACTGCTCCCTCAGCCAAGACTAGTTCAAACAAGTTCTAACATTTACAGAAGGAGTTGTACGCCATCTATTACGCTCTTATCACCATGAGAAGATGCTGCAGGACATGAGAGCCACAGGATCTGTGAAGCCGAGATATATATAGACACACGTTTTGGTGTCGTTAATAATGCATGAACCTGAGGCGCTCAGTTTCTCTCTTGCTAGAGAAAACGTGTGTGTGTGTGTGTGTGTGTTAGTCAGCATTGGGAATATCATTTGTGATAGTGGGCCCCATGTGTACATAGACATATTGGCTTTAATGATATTGCCTTCCAAGGTCATTTCTTGCTGACTGACAGGCAGCCAAACAAATATTAATAGGTCAGGTCTTTACGGGGGAAGTTCTCCAGTTGTGCATATATGAATTCTGACTAGAAGATTCCACCAGAATGAACTCAATTAATGAGTCAAAAGTTCTTCATTTTAAATAAGTGCAAAAGCTCAGCTGGCAAAACTAATTATTTCACTATAATGGAAGACCACAATTTGATTTATTGAAGCGTGTGTGGTTGTTTACAAAGAGCTGAATACAACAAATAATAAGCAAGCACTGCCCTCAACTGCTCATACAGTAGTACTGCAAGAAAAGAGCAGGAGCTTAAGTCGAAAGGTCTATAATTATACCATCCAGAAATGGAGAAAATATTAAAGTGTTTTTGTATTAATGGCATAAAGTTGGTGGTTGTCCACATTTTTTCCCCAGGATCGTAATGTTTTCTAATCAATTTACCAACTAATTCAGTCACAATAAAAATAAATATTGAAGGTTAATATACAAAAATATATATAGGGTCATATACAAATTAACAGAAAGAAACTGTATGGCCTGCAAACACTACTGTATATGGTCATTGGTCACACATAAGCAATAGTGTGCTAGATGTTCAAACCAGTCCTGTAACAAGTTGATTAGGAGCTTTTAAACAAAAAATAAACTTAAACTTGACTTGGGACTGAGTGAGGTCACTGTGCAGAGAGAGAAAATCAGTATGTGTCTGTGATAAAGGGCTATAGATGCTCTGATGACTCTGTGCCTCACCTGAAGTCGGGGATGCCTGTTGAGGTGCTGATTCCTGCTCCAGAGTGGACCACCAGGTACTGAGAGTCTCTGATCAGCTGAGCGAGGGTCTCCACATTCGCCTTGAGCTGCTCAGGACTATCAAACACCTGCAACAGAACAGGAAACAGCTAGTTTAAGAACAGTTGTTAGATACTGGCACAATCAAATATCAGAATATGTTTGTAACAATACCTAAATATCAAGAGTACTTAAGAATGACAAGGGGTTGATAAGGGATGCTTTTCATACAGTAATGTTGTATCACCGGGGTAAGTGGTATTGTCTAATGTGGGTATGATAGCCCTTTCTTCCAATTAACCCTGAAGCCAAACATACATAAACATGGTATGTGTCAATATTATGCAACTTTCAAGAAAGAAACATTTTCACAAGGTAGCAATAACAAACGTTCTAATTAATATGTTGTCTGTCTTTGGGAATTCCTTTGTTGTAATCTGGACATTTTAAATATTGAGTGTGTTGTGGTGTTGCTTTCTGACATTACCGTACATTTCGTAACATTTGTACATGAGTAAACATAGGAATGTATAACTCTGTCTTGTCATGGAGGATTTTTACATTGGTGTTTAGCTTTTATGATGTATTTTCTATTATTTGTAATTGAACTGAACCTAAAAAAGCGTCCTCTTCTGCTAGACTGCTAGCAGTAGATAAGCTAACAAACACAACCCATCGTTAGCTCATGGTCGTTATTTTTTACCTCAGGAAGTCCGCAAACACCTTTGTCTGCGTACGGCGAGAGCCCAGCAGCATAATTCACAGACATTGCTGTTGTAGGTAACGTTGCTTGACTCTATTGTATTGTTTTTAGAAAACTGTTCAAGTATTAAGAAGCGCCAAGGCGGTTCTTCAGTTGTGGTGTTGAACTGACGTCATCTCTTAGCGACGATATGTTCACAACAAGGATTTCCCATGGGATTTCCCCTCATCCAATCAGTCCAGCCAGTACAGGCCTGTACGACGAAGCCAGTTCAACAGACCCTGGATATATTTGGCCCAATTCCCTCCGTTTGCGACCATTTATAAAAAAAAGTGTCATTTTGATAAGGGGGGACCCTTATCAAAAGGTACATTTATTATAAAGGGGGACCCTTATCAAAAATTAATTAGATTTCAGAGATTCCTGTGTGAGAGAAATGAAGCACTGTCTTCGCCAATCCCTTTTAAATCAATCGTTGAATGTTAAAATAAAGGTTCCAAAATCACATTGGTTTCTCATACTGGTTTCTTCTCTGTCCTGGCTTGTTGGAGCTCCTGCCCCCACCCCTCCCTATGAGCCCACTGTGCTCTGATTGGTCAGCTCGCCCACTCTGTTCTCTGATGAGTCCACCACCGTCCAACGAGGCGTTCTTGGGCAGCACAGACAGGTATTTTCTGTGTTAGAGTTTTACTCGCTACAGGGTGTACTTTGAGGGTTTGTGACTTTGCAGACCCTTTACATGCAAAAAAAAAGGGTACATAGCACACAAGGGGACGGGTAATAACCGGAAAGGCATGACATGGGACCTTTAAGAGAGTTAATGTTAGAAGTAGGCAACAACTAATCCAAATAAAGCAATAAATAAGCAAATTTTTCCCAATAAATCTTTATTTTCCAGTTTTAAATAGCCGAAAAGAAAAAATAAACACAGGTGAATAAAACAATACTGTGTTCACCTATACAGCTACATGTGCATATCAGTTATGGTTCCTGCTGAAGCTTTAAACCAAATCTGAAGACCACCTAAAAGAGGGAAATTGTATAGTTTTTTATATGTAATTCACTATCCTGAGAAATTCAGTATGAACTTTAAGTAAATTAAACAATCAATATTGCTGATGAAAAAATACACACAGAGACCCATGCACTCTAAAAATCATATAAAAACTACTCTCAGCTGAAACAAAAAATAGAAATAATAATAAAACACGGCAGCCTTTTTGCTCTACAGTACACTTCTGGGGGTGAAAAGCATTTTGAAATTTGAATGATACTGCAACAACAGCTTTTGACAAACACATTTCTTACATATGCTTTTTTTGCCAATCAAACCTAATAATTTCATCACATAAATAAATCTCAAGCAAAGGTTTTGCAGCCATAATGTCTAAACAAAGTAAAGAGACTACATAACAAAGCCTGCAAGAGAGCAAAGACAGGAATACAACAGACAGTCAGAAAATGTTTTGGGCTTTCTTTTACACTGCTTTACGTCTTTGGCTCCCTCGGGCCTCTTAGAGAGAAAACCTGAAGAGAAATACAATTCAGATCAGTAATTAGTTCTGCCCCCCCCCCCTGAAAAACGTCCCTTAACGACTTTTACATCTGAGCTACTTCAAATAACATAACCCCACACTCAAAATGACACAGAAACACATCCAACAGTAACCAGGAGAAACACAGCAAAATATCAATTTCTTGTTACCGAAACGGTTCACATCAGGATTTGACCAACTGACGCCAGCCGGTCCTCCAGATACAGAGTTCTGTGGGACCTCAGTCAACTCGACTATTTCTTTTCACCAAGCTGATAACGGATAGTGACGTAGGTAAACAACCCGTAGGTAAACAACCCATAGGTAAAAGGGACAAAAAGCTTCTGATGATGTTCTGGCATGCTCAAGAAACATCGCTCTGTGACATCCCCTCGGATTGAAGCGCAACAAGATTGGGAAACTCAGAAATATCTTTTTTTAATGAATTTGCAGTAGATCATTCGGTACAAAAATGCTGCTTGAAGTCCTCAATCTTCTGTCAGTCACTGAGACCAACTACTGCTGAGCAACAATCACTTACAATTAGGGAAATAAAGATATACGAGAGAAGTGACAGGCTGAGCAAAGTTTGGAAGTGTTTGCAGTTGCACCAGTGCAAATGTTGCTATTGTTAAAAGTGGTATTAACCCCACAATACTTTATATTATACATGGGACTGAACAACTCAATAGGATTAAGTGATATTCTCTCAAAATAAGGTTTTAGGTGATAATGGAAATTCATAATATCTGAAGAACTTGGTGACTTTTGTGCTGGTGCAAATTCTACCAGATCTGACCCTTCCACAACGGTGCAACGCCTCAGAAAATAATTCAAAGGCTCAGGAAAAACTGCTCTTTTCATTGGTTTAGAAGTGGGAAGCTTCAAATCTTTCTCGGTTGAATGTGGGCCGAGAATTTCTGGCAACCCTGACAGAAAAAACGGGTAGCGTATCGCAGCTAAATTGAGGATGCGGCCCAAAAAGCACGTCACGACTCCTCGTTTCCCGAGTCATCTTCGTCGTAACAGCAGTCTCCGTCCTCGCCCTCCACATCGTCGTCGTCATAGTAATAGTCATAGAAGAGGTCAGAGCCTTCGTCGGGGGCCGGGACGCGTGTGCGGACGCAGTACTCGGCCAGCGTGGTGGGCACCTTCACACCGTCACGCTCTGCTTCTGCCTTGGTGGCCAATACCTGTTTCCTGAGCGGGAAGTAAAATAATAAATACTGTAAAGATGATTGACACTTGAAGAGAAGGAAGGAATTTAGTCAGCTCTTGTGATAAAAGCGCTGTGAATGACGCCAATAAAGTACGTCTGTTTACCTGATGATCTCTTGATATTCTCTGTCCTTGCCCTTGCTGTCTCTCCATTTGCGGTACATGACGGAGGCGTCCACGTTAGCGGGAGAGAAGGTGTTGGGTTCATTCAGCAGCGAGATCACACTCAGCAAAATTGTCCTGGAAGTGAACACAAATGTGAGTAAAAAAAATACATCATCCAGAAATTAATGATGTAGTAATTTGAACCAATATTATAGCATTATGTATAAAGGATTGACCTTTTTTCTGACTGAGTAAGAATTTTAGGGGTTCCATTATTTTTACATTGTTTACTTTTAGGCAGTGAAGGTGAAATTCCTGATAGAGGCTTTTTATAATTGTTTTGCCCCATTCATTATTTGGAAGAACAGTGCGCGGACACAAATACACCATAAAGCACTTATGGAGTTGTAATGCCTCCACATTGTGTAAGTCCACTTATATTTCACAAAAAAAGAACATGACATAACATAGGCACCTAACGTATGGACTGACCAAAAACAGATCACATTACAAGATGTTTAATACCACCATATGTATTCAACGTCGGAAGAGACTCCACTGAAGACAAATGTCATGTGCTAAGGGTATGAGTCAGGTCAATCAGTGAAGTGGTTGAGAGAAGACAAGGAAGGGAGGATCCCAGAAAGGAGAGACATTTGAAAAGAGGTAATGGGGGAGGTACTAACCGGACATTCTGGGTGGGATTCCACCTCTCTGAAGGCAACTCTCCGCTCTGCGGGTCGTCCACTGGAGGGTGCAATATAGAAATACACACATCTCCATTCTAAAATCAGAGGAAATAAACTCATTTTATTATAAGATGCATCATTCGTCAACAGAGAGATGTTAAATATAGGGATCAAGTACATGAAATGGCTTCACATTTGATTGTAAAACAGAATAAGGGTATGTGATAAGTCACCTCATAGATGTTGGGGTGCCACATCTTGGTGAGGAAGCGGAAGGCAGGTGGAGAGTACGGGTAGTCGATGGGAAACTTGATCCGAGCCTGAGAGGGATACACAGCAGGTCATTTACATGTAACAATGCACAGTATCACTACAATATAATGCAAGACATGTGTATATCTGTTGGTAAATCATAGATGTTTCAGGTGCTAAATTCAAAACAAAAACATTTATTATTAAAAAGGTTTTATTGCTGTTGTTGGTAAATCATTAAAAAAGGTTTCAACTGCTGTAGGTCTTCCTTGGGGCTAAAAACTGAAATAATGGCAGTTGTCAATATATGTTTTTTTCTTCTTTTTAAGAGTTCCTTCCGCATTTTAACTTGGAGCTGCTGTCATGGATGTGGGGAAGTTATAATTTGTTTGTCGATTTATCTATAAAGTTGTATTATTTTAACAATTCCTACTGTAAGTGTTTTTGTATGTGCTATATGTAAATGTTTTAATGACCTGTTAATTCCACAAAGACAATGTTCCACGTTGGTGGACAATTCTTACCTTAAAATACCCCCCTTCATAATGAGTGTTTGGGGGTCCGAAAATGGCCACTTCCCAGTTGTACATATCAGCCTCGTCCACCAGTGTGATTTTGAATCCCTCCACAGGCTCCTCCTGAAGGCTCTTCATCTCCAACATGAGTGCTTTCTGTGAACTAGCTACATGACAGTGGTCGTGTTGTGCCATACCGGAATAGATAGCTGGCCTGTGGTCAAATCTGAAGTCAACAGCTGACTGCTGTGTTTACACGAACACGGCTGAGTTGGCCAACAACCCACTGACAATGAAAAAAACAAAACACTAGGTTGTTTTCGATGTTCGCAGACAATGAAACAGGCCAAAGCAGACGGGTTGCGCTGTCAAACAAAGGTTGCGTTTATATTTCCTCAAATCAGATGAATTATTCACCAATGTCATTACCCTGGATTTGGTGAAATGACCAAACCATTGTGGCTGAGCAGCGCCTCTTTAGTTGATCTACCTGGAAGCGCAGCCACGGATATAAGCCGTAAATCTACTGGTAGCTGCTGGCTAATGTAAACCAGCTAACAAGCTGTACCTTACGGAGCAGCTGAAGACGAGTTTACCGAGTGTGCGAGTAGGTAACACTCGTCACTAGAGCGAGATTAAAAAAGAAAACAAAATTATTGCTCTGAAATGCGTGGAAACAAAGATGTTACTGGCATCAGTAAGAAATGCAGTTAATATCGCCCCAACAGACAGCTGGGTAAAGAAGAATGTTTCTGAAAGGAGTCTCCTCTCCCCTTCACACAGGCAATGGCGCTCTGTGTTGTCTGGGATTTGTAGTCCACGAACCATCTGTAAACATTACTTCTAACCGTT